CAACAACAACAGCAACAGCAACAACATCAACAATCAATTCAACTACCACAACGACAACAACAGTAAGTTTAAGACTGGTCACTCCTATCTGCTCGCGTGCCATTCAACACGTGTATCCCAAACCCTTCGTACCTGCCCACTTCGTCTTCGATCGTACCCCCCTTGGGGGGATATCTTCCTTACCTGCCACGCTCCTTTTTTAGTGCAGCCCCTAAAAACGGCGGAAGACAGGGCAGCCTGCACGGACGCGCGGCCCAGCCGACGCCAGCGAACCCGAGCCGAACGGGATCCAAACTGCGTCACCTGCGCGGTGCTCGCAAGCACGGCGGTGGTCACTGGCGCCGTGCCATGCGGGTCGTCGTGGCGGCCGCCCACACGCCACGCGCGCAGAATCCGGCATGGTCTCCTGGTCATCCCAGTATGGAATGCTTACGAGCCGCCACCGAGCCTCCTCCTCCTCCTCCTCCTCCTCCTCCTCCTCCTCCTCCTCCTCCTCCTCATCTTGTTCGATATATACAAATATAGAGAGAGCAAGGAGGAAATGGAGACCAGAGAGAAGGAGGAGGAGGAGGAGGAGGAGGAGGACGGCGAGGAGGACGAGGAGGTGGAGGAGGAGGCGGAGGGAAAGGACCTCCCCATCCTCCCTCCTCCCCCATCCTGTCTATGGTGAAAGAGCCGCCACCGAGCGCCTTTGTCCGATATATAAACATATGTAAGGAGAGCAAAGACAACAAAAGGGCAGCTCGCCGCCCTGCCCCACGCGCCGGCACGGCTATAAACCGAGGCGAGGCCGGCCACACCGAGGAAGCGCCTCCTCCCCTCCCTCCTCGCCTCCTCGCCTCCTCCCCAGACCTGCCCCCTCCCCAGACCTCCCTCCTCCCTCCTCCCTCCTCCCTCCTCGCCTCCTCCACTCCCTCCTCCCCAGACCTCCCCTCCCCTCTCCCCAGACCTCGCTCCCCCCTCCCCAGACCGCCCCCCCCTCCCCAGACCGCCTCCTCCTCCCCTACCCCCTCCCCAGACCTCCGAGACCGAGTCCCCCCAGCCCCCTTGACCGCATCGCCACACCCCCCCGGCCGCCCCGAGAGAAAAAAGATGGTCGCGCGCACTAGCCGAACCCGCGCAGAGCGCCGAGCGGCTTGCCGTCCCGGGCGCGCTGCATCGTGGCTGTGCCAGTGTCGCCCCATCAGACCAATCAACGACAGAAGGCTGCCGACAAGGTTAGAGCCAGGCCCAGGGGTCCGCTCCAATGGGGCCCGCAAACGCAGATGCAGTCGCTTGCTGCATGGACTATTGCACACCCTGAGAATATGTTGGGGATGGGCATGCCAGAAGTTGGAGATTGGGTTCGCGCCTGCATGGCAGGCTCGTGCGGGCAGCGTGCGCTGCCGAGTCGCAAGGCCCCAGAAGGAGGGGGTCAGGAGCACAGAAAGTGATATGGTGCCAAGGCGCCGAGGAAGCCATTCCCACACCGCTGCGCCCAGCAGCCCTCGCCCGACATGAAAGCGGGGGTACGAGCTTAGAACTTCGTGTTCGGCCACCGCTCATCGCGCTGCGCAACCGGTACGTGAAAGGTCATTGTCAGACCAACAGTCGCAAGCACCGCTCAGCACCGCCTTGGTCCCCACCGTCACCATGAACGGCGCCACCGCGAAGCAGCCGACGAAAGTAAACGCGCAGGTCAAGAATCCGGCAGCCACGCCGGCTGCACCTCCTGCCATGGCCCCAGTCTGTGAGCTTGAGCACTTAGTTGCGCGGCGCCGCCTGCGCCTGCCTGATTTCTGCGTCAGCGCGTCATCGGTCCCCTTGGCCAAAGCAGACTTGCGTAACTGCGCCTCTAAGCGCCTCTCGAGGGAAGCTGGCATCTCCTGAGTCTGGAGCACCTCGACCAACTCTTCACGGCTCACCCAGACGATCTCCGTCCCGACAGGGATCTCGAAGGCCAGCGTGTGACCCACAGGTGCCTCGCTGACGAGATCGAAGGCCATGCCCATGAACGTGCTTGGGCTTTGCGTTGAAACTGCGAACGTGATGTTCTCAACGCGGTACGACGCGCTGCTGTTCCCCATGGACTCCACGCGCTCACTGTCATCAGGGCACTGCTCAGTGACATTGTCGGTGTCCTCCACGAAAAACATCTTCAGCATGACGGGGTTCGCTGTTCTCCGGTATTCCGCTGGCACGTCCATCAGCATCGCAGGAGCGTCGTCGGTGCCAGCCCCCATGAACGTCACGATGTCTGGCATGTCGATTCCTGCATCTGGGTCGGGGCTCATGACAGTCTTGATGATGTTCCCGCGATATTCCACTGTGGCTGTCACGTTCAAGCCTCCATGTCCTGTGTAATAACAGATGTAGCCCGTTGGGCAAGGCAGCAAGCCCCCTTTGTAGCTGCATCCGCTATTGGCAAGTTGATTTGCGTACTTGCGCCACGTTGCGCCCGCGCGGAGATGGAGCTCTGTCTCCGACGCGGAATGCTGGTCCATGAGGTACTGGAGACTTACCATGCCATTGCGACCGCCGGCTTCACCCGCTGCAGCGCCACGACCGGCTCGCCTGCGCAGCGCTTCGTCTGCTGCACTATGCAGCGTTACTGCCTGCAGTGGCAGGGCGAAGTTAGCGAACAGTGCAAGGTGAACAACAATGAACACCATGGGTTCGCCTTATCACGTGTGTGCAATACTGAGAACAGTTTGAGACGGCTTGTTTGATCTCAAGTGGCTACGAAACAGCGAATGAAAGGGCGGATGGAAGAGGGAGGGCGAAGGATGGAGCACGGGATTAGCAGGCGACGGGGCTGGGAGCAGAAAACACGTGGCAGAAGCAGAAGGGCAGATCGGGCGGGCAGACCTGGACGGGCGGGTCGGGAAGGCGGGCCCAGGCGGCCAGGTCGAGCAGGCGGGTTGCTGAAGCGTGGGTTCTGCATAAATCGCGAGCACGTCTCGAGCGACAGCGCGATGGCGAAATAAATCGTGAGGAAATCCACAGCGAGCGCGTGATTCCCGAGTGTCGAGGAGGCGGCGTCTGAATACATTGCCAGAAAGTCCCACGCGAGAGCGCGATTCATGCATGAACTGCAAGGAAATCCCGCAAGAGCGCGATTTGGAAATAACTTGTGAGGAAGTATCAGGCGTGGGCGGCTGTTGTTGTAAACTGGGGGCCAGGGGCACAGCTTGGCGACACCTCACTCTCCTTTCTAAAACACAGGGTGCGAGCCTCGGGAGAAGCACTGCATTTCAAAAAAGCAATGATTACTGGAGAGGGGAGTCAACAGTAACTATTGCTTCGAAATGAAAATACAACAACAACATCAAGAACAACTGTCAGTTTGAGACTGTTCGCATCAACAACAACAACAACAACAACAACAACAACAACAACAACAACCACAACCACAACCACAACCACAACCACAACCACAACCACAACCACAACCACAACCACAACCACAACCACAACAACACCATCACGAAGAACAGCGACAACACTCAGCTTAAGACTGTTTGCGCTTACCTGCTCGCGGGCCATTCAACACGTACATCCCAAACCCTCGATATCCGCCCTCTTCGTCTTCGATCGTACCCCCTTGGGGGTGTAGATCTTTCTTACCTGCCGCGTGTATTTCGTGCAGCCTTAGGCAGGGGAGGAGAGGACGGATGGGAGGAAAGGACAGGGGGGAGGGAGGAGGATGGAGCCCGAAAGAATGTAGCAGCAGGAGGGCTAGGAGCAAAAAAACACATGGCAGAACCAGAAGGGCAGATCGGGCGGGCACACCCTAACGGGCGGGTCGGGAAGGCGGGCCAAGGCGGCCAGGTCGCGCAGGCGGGTTGCTGAAGCGTGCGTCCTGCATGAACCGCGAGGGCGTCTCGAGCGATAGCGCGATTGCGAAATAAATCGTGGGGAAATCCACAGCGAGCGCGTGATTCTCGAGTGTCGAGGATGCGGCGTCTGAATACATTGCCAGAAAGTCCCACGCGAGAGCGCGATTCATGCATACATTCAGAGGAAATCCCGCAAGAGCGCGATTTAGAAATAACTTGTGAGGAAGTATCAGGCGTGGGCGGCTGCTGTTGTAAACTGGGGGCCAGGGGCACAGCTTGGCAACACCTCACTTTCCATTTCTAAAAACCAGGTGCAAGCCTCGGGAGGAGCACTTTAATTCAAAAATACAACGGCTACTCGAGAGGGGATCAACAGCAACTGTTGTTTCGAAATGAAAATGCAACAACAACATCAACACCAACAGCAACAAACACTTCAAGACTGTTCGCCCTTATCTGCTCGAGCGTCCATTCCCGAACCCTCGATACCCACCCTCTTCGTCTTCGATCGAGCCCCTTTTGGGGGGTATGCGTTTCTTCCCTGCAGGCCGGGCCCCGGCAAGCGGCGGGGCGGCCGCGGACCGTTGGCCTGGCCAGCGGCAGCGCTGACCGGCGGGGCGGCCGCGGACCGTCGACCCGACCCGAAGAGGGACGGACAGGGGACCGACCACGACGACGACGACGACGACGTCGACGACGGCGGCGACGACGACGACGGCGACGACGACGACGACGAGCGAAAGCGAGAGCGAGAGAGAACGACAGCAGGGCCACGAAGGACACGAAATAGGCCACGAAGGGCGACAGCGGGGACACGAAGGGAATGCGTATGGGGCCACGAAGAGCGCGAACGAGCGGGGGCCACAAAGGGCAGATAATGCGGGGCCAAAGCAGGCAACGATGGGGCCACTGAGGGTAGCAACTGGGCCACGTAGGACAGTGAGGGGGCCACAAACGGCGACACCTGGGCCACGAAGGGCACGCACATGGGGCCACAACGGGCGCGAACGAGCGGAAGGGCATACGTATGTTGGGCCGCGGAGGGCAAGGACGGGGCCAGTGAGGGCAGCAACGGGGCCACGAAGGGCAGCGAGGGGGCCACGAAGGGCTGCAATGGGGCCACGAAGGGGAGCGAGGGGGCCACGAAGGGCTACAACGGGGCCACGAAGAGCAGCGAGGAGGCCACGATGGGCTGCAACGGGGCCACGAAACAAAGCGAGGGGGCCACGACGGGCTGCACCGGGGCCACGAAACGAAGCAAGTGGGCCACGAAGGGTTGCAACGGGGCCACGAAGGGCAGCGAGATCCCGATTCCTAGGCAATCTGTGAGGGGGTCCTAAGCGTGAGCGCGACTCCCGGGTGCGTGGGTGTCGGGAGCGCGGCGCCTGAGTAAATTGCAGGAAATTCCAACGCAAGGGCGCTATTCGTCAGTAAATTTCAAGCAAGTCTCCAGCGAGAGCGCGACTCCAGAGCGCCGGGAGAGCGATTCTTGAATAAATCGTAAGGAAGTCCCAAGCGAGAGCACGATTCCTAAATAAAATGCGAAGAAGTCTCGGGCGGGAGCGGGGGTCCTGGCTGAAATTGCGAGGACGTCTCAGGCGGGAGCCGTTGTTGTTGCAATCCGGGGGCTAAGGGCCCAGTTTGAGCATCAAGACTTTCCTTGACAAAATCAGGGTGCGAGCGTCGACGAGCACTTTGATTGAGAAAAACAGTATGCACCGGTGGGGGGGATCAACAACACTTGTTCTTCAGAAATGAAGGTAAATCAGTTTGAGACTGATCGCTCTTACTTGCCCGCGTGTTTTTTTTGTACACCCCAACCCTGTATAGTGTTTTTTCACAACCATCCTGTGGTGTTGGGTCCTCGTTTTGAAGAGACGTCGCCCCGCGTTCTCCTCTCCTCTCCTCTCCTCTCCTCCTCCCCCATCCTCCCTCCTTCCTCCTCCAATTCGGCACACCCCTCACACGTTTCGTGGCCCCATAGGAGCTCCGCCGAAGGCCCCAGTGCTGCCGCCCGCATGCGTCACGCACACCCAATTCGGCACACCACCCCTCACACGCTTCGTGGCCCCTAGGAGCTCCGCCGGTTAGGGCCCATGTGCTGCCGCCGGCATGGCGTCACCCACAACCCAATTCGGACAACCCTCACACGCTTCGGGCCACATAGGAGCTCGCCGAAGGACCCAGTGCTGCGCCCAGCATGCGTCACGACAACACCAATTCGGCATCACCCCTCCAACACGTTTAGTGGCCCCATAGGGTAGCTCCGCCGAATGGCCCCAGTGCTGCCGCCCGAATTGCGTACCACACACCAATTCGGCAAAACCCTCACACGCTGCTGGCCCCATAGGAGCTCCGCCGAAGGCCCCCCCAGTGCTGCCGCCAGCATGCGTCACCCACACCCAATTCGGCACACCCCTCACACGCTTCGTGGGCCCCATAGGAGCTCGCCGAAGGCCCCAGTGCTGCCGCCAGCATGCGTCACCCACATCCAGTTCGGCACACCCCTCACACGTTTCGTGGCCCCATAGGGAGCTCCGCCGAAGGCCCCAGTGATGCCGCCCGCATGCGTCACCCACACCTAATTTGGCACACCCCTCACACGTTTCGTGGCCCCATAGGGAGCTCCGCCGAAGGCCCCAGTGCTGCCGCCCGCATGCGTCACGCACACCCAATTCGGCACACCCCTCACACGTTTCGTGGCCCCATAGGAACTCCGCCGAAGGCCCCAGTGCTGCCGCCCGCATGCGTCACCCACACCCAATGCGGAAACACCCCTCACGACTCACACGTTTCGTGGCCCCACAGGGAGCTCCACCGAAGGACCCAGTGCTGCCGTCCGCATGCGTCCCGCACACCCATTTCGGCACACCCCTCACACGTTTCGTGGCCCCATAGGGAGCTCCACCGAAGGCCCCATGGCTGCCGTCCGCTAGCGTCCCGCACACCCATTTCGGCACACCCCTCACACGTTTCGTGGCCCCACAGGGAGCTCCGCCGAAGGCCCCAGTGCCCGCGCCCGCATGCGTCAGCCACACCCATTTCGGCACGCCCCTCACGCGTTCCGTGGCCCCATAAGGAGCTCCGCCGAAGGTCCCAGTGGGTGTGCCCGCATGCGTCCCGCACACCCATTTCGGCACACCCCTCACACGTTTCGTGGCCCCATAGGGAGCTCCGCCGAAGGCCCAGTGCTGCCGCCCGCATGCGTCACGCACACCCAATTCGGCACACCCCTCACACGCTTCGTGGCCCCATAGGGAGCTCCGCCGAAAGACCAGTGCATGCCCCCGCATGCGTACGCACGACCAATTCGGCACACCCTTAACACGTTTAGTGGGTCGCCATAAGGAGTTCCGCCGAAGGCCCCAGTGCTGCCGCCCGCATGCGTCACCCACACCCAATTCGGCACACCCCTCACACGTTTCGTGGCCCCATAGGGAGCTCCGCCGAAGGCCCAGTGCTGCCGCCCGCATGCGTCACCCACACCCAATTCGGCACACCCCTCACACGTTTCGTGGACCCATAGGAGCTCCGCCGAAGGCCCCAGTGCTGCCGCCCGCATGCGTCACCCACACCCAATTCGGCACACCCCTCACACGTTTCGTGGCCCCATAGGGAGCCCCACAGAAGGCCCCAGTGCTGCCGCCCGCATGCGTCACGCACACCCAATTCGGCACACCCCTCACACGCTTCGTGGCCCCATAGGAGCTCCGCCGAAGGTCCCAGTGCTGCCGCCCGCATGCGTCACGCACACCCAATTCGGCACACCCCTCACATTTCTGGTGGCCCCATAGGGAGCTCCGCCGAAGGCCCCAAAGCTGCCGCCCGCGTGCGTCACGCACACCCAATTCGGCACACCCCTCTCACGCTTCGTGGCCCCATAGGAGCTCCGCCGAAGGCCCCAGCGCTGCCGCCCGCATGCGTCACGCACACCCCCAATTCGGCACACCCCTCGCACGTTTCGTGGCCCCGTAGGGGGCTCCACCGAAGGTCCCGGTGGGTGTGCCCGCATGCGTCCCGCACATTCATTTCGGCACACCCCTCACACGCTTCGTGGCCCCATAGGGAGCTCCA